CTGCAATTTTCCCTATTCATAATGCATGAAATGTATCCTGATGTGTATTTAGGTTTTATGTACAAACTTTGCTCATTTCTTCTGCATCTTAGCCTCTGGAGTTATTATTATTATTTATTTATTTTCATATTGAACTTTACTTTCCATGTTAAGCAGTATGGCTTTATAGCTTGGTTGCTGAGCACTTCAGTTGGACTGTTGCTTTCCTTTCTGAGGTATAAAGTTATTATTCTCAGTGTCCTTATAATTGCAAACAAAGTGTTTCACTTATAAATACTCAATATTTCGTTGAGCCACTCTACCTCCCCAGGGAAAAAAGAGTAACTTGACGTGGCAGTGAGATGTAATTGACATTTCTATCTGTAATTTTGTGCAGCAAGTCATCAGTTCTTCTTGGATTATCTTTGACGCTACCTCTCATGGTTGCTTGCCTATCAATTGGTGTTCCCTTATGGATTCGTAATGGTTACCAGTTTTGGCTTTCAAGAGTTGGTAATGCAAGCCATGCAGGAAATCAGGGAATTCTGGGGAGGAAGGAGGTTTGACCTTTAAGCTTTCCGTGCTTGTTTTGTTGTTAGACTGAACGGTGACCCTCACCACTTAATTCATTTTTTCCACTTGCCGTTCCACACAGTAATTTTTGAGGAATCATTTATCTTTTATTTTCATATTTCTTATGTAAGTGCAAGTAGTGAGGGCCTTCATGAAAAATAAGATGGTCATTTGAGGACACAAACTATTTTCTTATGTTGGCTAGTTTGATGGAGGAAACATGCTGAACTTTGCTAACTTGGCACGTCCCTGGACCCTGTATACAGCACAATAACTGTATGCAGAAAATTAATGAAATATTATATTCTGCCTCGCTACCATATTATCTATGGAGTTATCCTTCAATAGATAATTTTAGTAAGATATTGCATCGTGAGTTGTCATTGTTCAGACTTAGAGAGCCGCTGTAAAACCATAGTTGAAATGCAGAATCTCTGTGATTTATTCAATGTTGCTGGAGGATTAGGCATGATGGATGAGTTTTGCCTTGAATGTGCATTTTCTCACTGTATCTTTTGGCCAGGAATCTCTCTCCTTTTCCTGATATTTTTGAATGATCTTTTTCTGTGAAGAGCTGAATAGTATTTCTTCCGTTTTGCATCTACCCAGTTCTTATGCAGCATTCCTACATTGTTTTTAGAAAGGAGAGGGGTGGCGGCAGCTATTGGCGTCTCTGTACTATGTTGTTAGGGAATCTTTTATGTCTTGCAGTTTTCCACTTTCTGTGATCTTTCTTGTGTCTGTGCCAGGGTCATTCTCTCTTATTACATTG